ACGTTATTAACGTAGCTGAATTTGCGTACCTTAGTCCAAAGTGGGGGCTTAGTGGGGACCAGGCCAAAGACAAGCTTACAAAACTTCTCTTCAGGTCGGCAAAAATAAGCTGAAGAAGAGCTCTGTATAGACCTGAAGGCTTGTATCTGACACCAACAGAAGCTGGTCCAATGAAAGAGATTACCTCACCCACCTTGCTTCTCTAATATCTTGGGACCAATACAGCTGCAACTACACTGCATAGATCTGAAAAATATTTCAACTGAATCAACTAAAAACACATCAAGAAACAACCAGGAGAAATCCCCAAGTGAAGGCATTTTGCCAGATTTATGCTTCAGCTCTCCAGTATTGTGGTGTGTCAAAAGAACAGACCACATGATATTTTAGAAAATGAATCTGAGTGCATCAGAAAAAACAAACTAGATAGCAGAATAACTCAATGTAATGTTGATTGTTCTGTTGTCCCCAAACCCTCTTGCTTCCACTTCAAGAAAAACAGTGTTTTTGTTGCACTTAAATAAAAAAAAATTGATCCATTCTTTCCTCCAGTACAAGAAGCAAATAAAATAGTAATATTTTCTTTAACGTTTAAGTTTTAAAATCTCTTCAAAATTAGCAAGGAGTACCAAAGGGGAGAGATGAGTTCACTATACTATAAAGCCTGATGGCCCTAATCTACTTAAAATGCAAGATGGATGTCTTTTTGTATTAGTCAAGTATAGACTGCCCCAGCACAGAGACCAGTTGGGCTTCAGTGGCATGAGAAACTGGATAGTTGTAAATTATCACAGTCTAATCCATAGTACTTAACTATATATTATATGCAAAGAGATACATTATAAGAACTGCAGGATTCGGAATGTAGTAGAATTAAGGTTGCAAAATCAAATACTCAATAATTAGGAAATGCTAAAATTAAGGTTGCCCAAACGACCTAATTGTAGAAAAATTGATAACATTATATAACCTAATTACATGATCACATACTATTCCCCCACCCCACAGTATTTCTGCCTCACTCAGTGAGCAGGATGAACAGTGCTCTGGGTTTGAGACAGCTGTTCAATGTATCTATCCTCATCATTCAATTAGTACAGACACCCCCCCAGGTTACATAAACCCGATTTATGCAAATCCGCATTTACGGAAAAAGTTCCGTAAGCTAGAAATTTATTTATTTATTTTTTGCGTAACAGTCGGGTATACATTTCTGACTTACACAAAATTCAAGTTACGCAAGGCATTCCGGAACGGAATGCTTGCGTAAGTGGGGGAGCATCTGTAGTCCCTTCTTTATTTACTGCACACAATTCAAAACCTACAATCAATACAGAGTTTTCATTTTCTTATGATCTTATTTACTACTTGGTTCCCCCATAATATTTTGATTAGGGAAAGAAACCACGGGAAAAAAACACATTAATCTGAAAATGGAAGGACATACCTGCTGAGCAATTCCAATCCAGCAGAGAACTTTGGCAAATACTGAACAGTCCTGTAAACATAATAAAACCACAGAAGTTAAAAATGGAAGAGAATAAGGTCATCCAATCCAGCTCCTCATCAATGCAGAATTATTCACTGCCATCCCCATTTGCTACCATTTTGTATGGTCTAGTTCAAAACATACTAAGCAATCTACTTTACAAGAATATAAAAGAATACAAAACCACTAGATTTCAATGTTAAGCTGATATCCACCTACATTTTCCCTTTTTTGATTATTGCATTATACCCTTTAACACTGCGCTATTCTTGGTGTTCATTAGAAATAGACAGACAACGTACAAGGCAATTTTTTGCAGATGCTTTGGCAAGACAGACATCACTTTAAGAGTAGATTATGAAATCATGATTATAATAATAACTAGTTCTGCATTAATATATTGACACTAATCATTAAAGCCCTAAGGTTTTGAATTTAATGCACTCTTCATTAAAACTGTGGTTGCTACAAAATTGAAAGAATCTTTGACAGCCCATAATCTAATATTTCCTATGTTGGTCAGAGCTAATAGGTTATATACATACACACCAATAGGTATTACATGCACAATATTAACATGTGTGTGTGCGCGCATCAGGAGGGGAATCATGCTAAATTGTACTATGCTTATTCTTGCTCACTTATGCCAAGACACATCCCACAATGCCCTGGGACAAATTGCTCAGCACATGGCTTAGGCAAATACAAAAATGGTCACGTTATGCTAGATGAATGAGTGTTCTGAAACAAAGCTATAATGTGGTACAAGGAAATAATGTAAGGTGTATGAATGCTTTGCATTAAGGAGTATTTTCATGCCCCTCAGTGTTTGGAAGGTAATAATCAAAACAAAAGATAGGAAAGTACAGGGATGCACCAATGACAAAGCTGGCACAAACTGGTTAGTTAAACTTTAAGTGATATGAATAGTGAGTGCTGTGCAGCTTATAAACAGCCATCCTATAAAAAGATGGCTAACTTAAGTGGCATTTGGGAAGCACATCTTCTGTGTAAGGTGAACTGAACAGGCTACAAGACTGCACTTCCTGGGAAAGACCAATGTGCTTACTCTTTCCTTCCTGTACTGCATTGCTTTGTCTTTAGACAATAAAACTGGCTTAGCTTGATTTGATTTCTTGAAGATTTTTAACACTGAACCGCACGTATAGTCAATTACTTGGCTATACCTCTTAGTCAATAACAAGTATAATTTATCAGCAAGAATAAACTTAAATATGAAAACAATGTTACAATCCTTCTACCACATATTAAATATTAGCAAGACCACACTTTATAAATATATTGTACTACATCTAGGGCTGTCAAGCGATTAGAAAATTAATTGCGATTAATTGCACTGTTAAACAATAGAATACCATTTTTTTAAAAATATTTTGGATGTTTTCTACATTTTCAAATATATTCATTTCAATTACAACACAGAATAGAAAGCATACAGTGCTCACTTTATTTTTTATTACAAATATTTGCACTGTAAAAAACCAAAGAAACAGTATTTTCGCTTCACCTAATACAAGTACTGTAGTGCAATCTCTTTATCATGAAAGTGCAGTTTACAAATGTAGTTTTTTTGGTTACATAACTGCACTCAAAAACAAAACAATGTAAAACTTTAGAGCCTACAAGTCCACTCAGTCCTACTTCTTGGTCAGCCAATCGCTAAGACAAACAAATCGCTAAGTTTGTTTACATTTACAGGAGATAATGCTGCCCACTTCTTAATTATAATGTCAGCTGAAAGTGAGAACAGGCATTCGCATGGCACCATTGTAGCTGGCATTTCAAGATATTTATGTGCCAGATGCGCTAAAGATTCATATGCCTCTTCATGCTTCGGCCATCATTCCACAGGACATGTTTCCATGCTGATGCTGCTCGTTTTAAACAAAACAAAAAAAAGTTAATTAAATTTGTGACTGAACTCCTTGGGGGAGAATTGTATGTCTCCTGCTGTTTTACCCGCATTCTGTCATATATTTTATTTCATAGTAGTCTCAGATGATGACCCAGCACATTGTTCGTTTTAAGAACACTTTCACCACAAATTTGACAAAATGCACAGAAGATACCAATGTGAAATTTTTAAAGATGCTACAGCACTCAAACCAAGATTTAAGAATCTGAAGTGCCTTCCAAAATCTGAGAGGGACGAGGTGGGGAGCATGCTTCCAGAAGTCTTAAAAGAGCAAAATTCTGATGTGGAAACTACAGAACCCAAACCACCAAAAAAGAAAAATCAACCTTCTGCAGGTAGCATGACTCAGATAATGAAAATGAACATGCATCGGTCTGCACTGCTTTGGATGGTTTTTGAGCAGAATTCGTCATCAGCATGGACGCATGTCCTCTGGAACGGTGGCTGAAGCATGAAGGGACATATGAATTTTTAGCACAACTGGCATGTAAATAACTTGCGACGTCAGCTACAACAGTGCCATGCAAATGCCTGTTCTCACTTTCAGGTGATATGTAAACAAGAATCAGGCAGCATTATCTTCTGCAAATGTAAACAAACTTAGCGATTTGTTTGTCTTAGCGATTGGCTGAACAAAAAGTAGGACTGAGTGGACTTGTAGGCTCTAAAGTTTTACATTGTTTTGTTTTTGAGTGCAGTTATGTAACAAAAAAACTACATTCGTAAACTGCACTTTCATGATAAAAAGATTGCACTACAGTACTTGTGTTAGGCGAACTGAATATACTATTTCTTTTTATCATTTTTACAGTGCAAATATTTGTAATAAAAAATAAATATAAAGTGAGCACTGTATACTTTGTATTGTGTGTTATAACTGAAATCAATATATTTGAATTAGCAGAAAAGCATCCAAAAATATTTAATAAATTTCAATTGGTATTTTTATTGTTTAAGAGTGCGATTAATCACAATTAATTTTTTATTCACTATTAATTTTGAGTTAATCGCGTGAGTTAACTGCAATTCAATCGACAGCCCTAACTACATCAAGACTTTCCTCACTTCAGACTCCTAAAAGGCCCTCAGAATGGATTGAAACTGCAGTTATACCAACTGTTTGAATGATGGTGTATGTGATGTAAATAATATGACTCAACAGTTGTTTATTAGTTAGATTCAAAGATCAAGCTATGTTATGTTTGCTTCAGAACCTGGTCAGTGGAGAGGAAGCAAATATGGTTTAAAGCCACCTTTGTGTTCACCTAGTCTGAGGCTAGAGTACCCTCAAGGCTAAACTAACCTAGTGTTTCCCAAAAAAGTGGGTCCTGACCTCATGTCACAGGAAGGATCTAACAGGCAGTAGTGTGGGAAGCAGAATCTGGGCAGCAGCAGCACGGAGGAAGTGGCCGTAGCCAACGAGCGGTCAATCAGCAGCCTGGTAGTGATACGGGCTCAGTAGCAGAAAGAGAGGGGCCAGATGGGGCTGCAGGAAGGGGCAGGGCCAGGATCGCCAGAACAAGGAAGCTAGGGGGAGCTGAGCACAGCACTTGGACTAAGAAGAAGGCTGGAGAGTGAAAGGGGGAGCGCAGGGTGTTGGAAGGCTAGGAAGGGAGAAGACAGCAGGGGCTGGAGGGCTGAGAAGAGGAGGAACAGAGGGGTAGGATGGCAAGGGGTGGAGGAGGGGTAATGGTGGGTCCCCAAAAAGACAAAATGTAGATGGTGGGTCACCTTAGTAAAAAGTTTGGGAACCACTGCTCTAACCTATTGCTCGCTGCAACAGCCCTCTAACATGTTCTGTCAGCGAAGAATCACTAGCGCACAAGGATCTCTGGTGACACCTCCACAATCTCAATAATTAGACCCCTATGTTTTTCACAAAGGCAAAACAACGTGAAATAAAACAAAAATAAATGTAAAAAAATGAAATAAAATGGAAAATTTGGCCTGCCCGCCCCATCATGACAGGAGCTATCACCCCACCTTGCCGCCCTCCACCGAAGAGCTCCTGCCCTTCCAGGAGGCAGCGCCTGCCACACCCTACCAAGAGCCATCCAGCCCCAACTTCCCATCAAGGGCCTTCCGCCCCCGATGGGGGGCAGGACCCTACCCTGCCACCACCCCAAGGGCCTCCCACCCACCCCCCGGGGGACAGAACCCAACTGCTGCCCTCCCTCAAGGATCTCCCACTAAGACCTGTCACCCCTCCCAAGGGCCTCCCACCCACCCTGGAGGGGGGCTATATAAGCAGAGATGGGGAAGAAATTTCTGAAAAATAAAAATAAGAATTTCACAGGGCTCTATCAATAATTACATCTCACTTCAACACGGACTCTACAAAGCAGGACTAGAAAGAGATAAAAGAGCCAGTTATGCCATCCAGGCAACCTATGCAATCAGCTGCCCTCTCAAAGCAGCTCTCTGTCCCCCTTGACACACAGGAGCATCACAAACAGGATGGAGGATTCAGACCCTAGTCTTCATGAATTTTCACTGTACAGAGTTCATGTAAACATATCAATGATAACAGATCCTACAGAATCAATGGCATTACTTCAATATGCCACCCGCATTAAAACATTATTTGTATTACTATAGCACCTATGAGCAATACATATGCACAGTAGAGCTTGCTAAAATTACTAATTCAGCCTTCTCCCAACAAAATACTTTAGCGGTGGCCTACATTATGGACAACTAATTGGCAAATTTTTAGTTATAAGAGACTGATCTTCCAAAAGTTAACAACTTCTGAAGTGCAAGAATGCAGTAATCAGTTTCATTTATTTAAAATTGCTCTGGATTTTTGTTTGGGTTTTTTTGTTTTACTTTTCTGCAGTTTAATATTGTACACATATGCCATTTATTCATGTTGAAAACAGAATGACATTTTAAAATGCTGACTTCAGAAACATTATAACCAATGCTATGTTCAGCTATGCTACAGAATGGTTTAAGATTTCTCTTCTGAAGTTACCATCCCTTTATCATCAATTTTTTAAAGCAATGAAAGGCACTTATTTCTGTTCTTGTACTTTAAAAACACCTCGTAACATAGGAAGAATGATTGTAGTATTTAAGATTCACATGGAGAAAGATAAATTCAAGCGTCAAATGTTTTGGGCAGTGATACTGTTTAATTTACTAGATTATAAAGGACAATATAATTTAGTTACAGCAAACATCTTTAAACTGAGTGCTGAGCACCAAAAAAATAGCTAATTTTAAAAAGTGGGAACTAGAGAGTTCTATTAAACCATATGTTTTGGATAATCCTCTTATCTATAGAGCAGCATTTTCTTCATCAAAATTTCAGTATTATGTAAAATACTATGTAAATAGTTTTGCCAAAGTATATTAGCTATGTTTAAACAATGTTTTCATAAATATAAAGACATAAGACAAAGCTATGTATTTGAGCATACAGAAGTACCTCTGCTTGCTTATTTTCGCTTCTCTTGATTTGTCACCCAAAGTCTTCAACCTATAATTCAAAACAAAAATATCAGGCCTTTGCTAACAACCACAACAGAAAAAGAGCTTGACACAGTAGGTGCCTAGGGTGCACCTTAAGGTTTATAAAGGTCAATTTTGCTTTGGTTTATTTTGGAAGTGAGAACTGTCTCCCCATTTATTGTATTTTTCAAAACTATTACATGAAGTGATTTTTCCATGGACTGTATTCCTCCTTTCTTCTCTCACACAGTACTGTACAAACAGCTGCATATGGGATTTTCAAATGCATCTAATATGATTTAGGAGTACAAGTCCCATGTATGCATCTATACTGGGACTCCCGCTCCTGAATCACTTGCATCTTGTCTACACGGGAAAGTTATCAGTTATACAGGTATAAAAACCCTGTGTGGAAACTCTTATAGGAAGAAGCATGACTTTTTTTGGGTTTAGCTTGTACCCTTCCCAAGCAACATACGTAAAACCAAAAAACGATTTATACTGGTATAACAGTTTCCACAGAGGATCTTATACCAGGATAAAAAATTCTGCACCACGGCAGGGAGTTTATACCTGTTTAACTGTATCAATTTATACTTCAGAAGTTACATCACAGAAACTTTCCTTTACAGCCACGGTCTTAAACACGTTTGAAAATTCCCACTCCTCCATGCCAACAAAAAATCTTCTTTGGGAAGTTTCCCACCATTACATTAGCACTAGTACAACTCCATCATTGTTTTTGGTAGTAAAATCCCTCATGCACTTCAAATGCATGTAAAGCGATACCTTTTAGGAACCAAGAAAGCATATAGACCAAAAAAATAGGGACTTCTCACTCTTAAGAGTACTTTCCAACAGTGGTGAAAATTTATAATCCTCTAAATCAGCCGTTCTCAAACTGTGGCTCGAGACCCCAAAGTAGGTCGCAATCCCATTTTAATGGGGCCACCAAGGCTAAAATTAGATTTACTGGGGCCTGGGGCTGAAGACCAAGCACTTCAGCCCTGAGTGGTGGGGCTCAGGTTACAGGCCACCTGCCTGGGGCTGAAGCCCTTGGGCTTCTGCTTTGGCCCCCACCCTGGGCGGTGGGGCTTTGGCCCCCCCACGGTGGGTGCTGGGACTCAGGCAGACTCAGACTTCAGTCCCCAATCCTGGGGTCGTGTAGTAATTTTTTCTTCTCAGAAGGGTAAGCTGCCTTGCGTCAATCTAGCTATAGAAATGTCCTCACTTAAATTTGGCTCTCACTGACTTAAGTGTCTCTGTACACCAATTTACTAACACCACCTGCTCAAGCAGCAGAGAGTCATGGTCAATGTAATTGGGTCGATGCAGTGTCAATGTAGACACTGCATTTCTTATGTCGACTGATACTGGCTTTCAAGACCTGTTCCACCATGACCCACACTGACAATACAATCGATACAAACACTCCTGGGGAGTACATGCACCACCTACACAAGGAGGCAAGTCTGCACACACACACGCAATTTAATAATTGCGGTGGCTGTCTGCCAATGTAAGTTAAGTTGACAATTTTGTAGCATAGGCATGGCCTACACTACGAAGACCATACCACCATAGTATATTTGCAGAAGTAGGAACACCACCTCGCCAAATGACAGACGCCCCCTTCTGTTGACATAGCTGTATCTACATGGGGTGTTACCTCAGTGCAGCTATGTCAACAGGTTGGATATTTTTTCAAGTGTAAACCAAGTCTTAGGCTCCTACATCCCACTGACTTTCAGTGAGATTCATTTATCAGATCCCTAAGTGGCTGGACAAGACCACAGGAAGTAACCATAAGTCAGGAACTACTGCAAATAATAGTGTTCTGGGGGAGAAGAGAGAGACCTCATTATCTGCTGTTAAGTGGGTTTTTTTCCCTGTAAATACAAGGATGGGGGACAAATTAAACTGAAGCTCAGATTTCTACTTTTGGTTTTCCTTTCCCATTCCTAAAGTATGGGTGGAGCCATTCCTTCCATCCCCGCCTCCTCCCCTCACATGACAGTCAGCCCTTCTACAGGCAGAGACGCTAACAAGCTTTTAGTGAGCTGTGTAAACTACAGGGCCGCCTATCACGTCGTTACTTTGGTCCAGGAAGTTTTGCTGGTCAGTTCCTTCAAACCACATTTAAAAATTTTATTAAGATGATGTTAAAAAAAATAGTGAACAGAGTCTGAGCATAGAACTTTCTGGTTATCAGGGAATAACATACAGATTATCGAGGGTGCAAAGTTTGGTTTAAGATAAGGTGGCATGAGGAATACACCCCGTTTCCCCCACTCCCTACAATGTTAACACAACCAAACACCAGTTACCCTGTGCCTGCTCCCACAGCGTCTCCAACCACTTCTCACCGCCTCCCGTTCCCGTCCATTAGCGCTGCAATCCCCGCGCCCCTGGGCGGAGGTCGGGGGGGTCTGAAGGGCCGGGGGCGCCCCAAGTGACACGTCTGTATCAGCTCTCCGGAATGATGCCCCGAAGCACAGCCCGGAGCTAGGGGCGCCGGGGGCCCTTCCCTTGGGCCCTACCGCTCTGCAGGATGCGGCGTTTTCGGAGAGCAGCGGTTCCCAGCCAGAGCCACGCAGCTGCCCGGAGGTTTCCAGAGGCTGCAGCCGGGGCCGCAGGAATAGCCTCCTTTCCCCCACACAGCGCTCGGCTCACGAGCCCGGGAGCCCGC